TTTGCTTACCTATTTTAAAGGGAGCAAAACTGACAAAACTGCAAGCAGGTAGTTTTCACAGTAATTGTTGTTTTTTTTTAAGTTTCTCTATATAATTGTTTTCTATACAAAACAGTAATTTATTTTTTACAAAAGGTGGTTGTAGCAGTTCCTTGAATTTTCCTGACAAAAAAACACATAACTACCTAGATGACTCTAATAGAACATTTGGTTTCCCTTCATTGGGTGATGAGTATAGGTAGCAAAAAAGCGTGTACAAAAAAGTTATTTAGAAGTCATAAATATTTTGCTAAAAGAAAGATGGTTTTGTGGTTGAATGATGGAATAATTTATGCTAACTACCTTTTAGTGACTCATTTTGCATGCAGAGGTGAGCTCATGTGATCTCGAGCCAAAAAGCCTTTGTGAGACATGCTCTTTGGACTGTCAACGAAATGACAGGCCCAGGGGTCACACTAAGACAGTGTAATGTATTATCATTGAAAAACCACCATTCCATCCAATTAACTTTTGCAGAGGAAGCAACCTTGAATCTAAATGCTAACAATATTTGGCCGTATAAAAACATCATGAGTCCACTGAAAAGGAAGTCTGACACTCAAGGCCTGATGAAATCATGTTCATAAAATTTTGAATTTAAGAGAAAAGAGGAAAGCTCATGCAAAATACATTACAAACTTGATGTGCCTTGAGACTTTATGCTTCTTAAGGAAAAAGTGCATTTTTGTCGCTGTTTGTATTTTAAAGACTGAGGGATGGTTATTGTTTTCTTCAACATGCTTTCCAGAATGGCTTTTCACAATCTAGATGCCAGCATGATTAATTAAGCATGCACACTGTGACATTCTACTGTGCGAGCTTGAAAAATTGCAAGCCTAACCTTTTAAAGAAGTACACATAATTACCACGACCTGCTAAGAGGTGACATGAGATGAAAGCTTTTCTGGCTTAAGTCAACGGTCAGCAGCATTTTGTGCCCAGAGAAGGGGATAACCTTGGTCTCTTAGACAAGGTGGCCTCCCACGAAAACTCGGACCACGTGTTTAAATCTGACCTGGATTTGCAAAATCCAGAGCCCTCTTTCTTGCTGCCTTCACAGTCAACAGGTATTGACTGGGCTCAGTGGCAGGCCACTCTCTCTGACCTCTCTGTGGGCTGTGACTCAGTGGTAACACTCTCCCTCAGGATTCTTTGTCCCTAAATTTTTCCCATCACGCAGCACTTCTTTCTGATTGTACTTCTTTGTCTACTTCCGCACCACTTCCTCTCAGGAGAGGAAGAGCTTAGATTGGGAGGAAGACGCAAGGTTTTGAGTTCATCTTCTCTGCTCCTGTAATCTCTTGGGTGCCCCCTCCCCCATCCTCTCAACCCCCAGACCCCTGCCGCATCTTAGTGGTGGTTATGAACTGAGGCTCAGGAACCAGACTGCTTCGGTCTGGTCCCTGCTCTGCCCCAAGCCATCTGTGGGGCTTTGGGTTAAGTCACCTCCACTCTCTGCACCTCGGTCTCCTCATCTACAAAACGGGGATGACAGTATCAGCCACGTTTTAATGTTAAATGAGATAATAGATGTAAAGTGCTTTGAACAATGTGTGGCACATATTGGCCATTGCTGCCATTATCTTCAAAAGCAGAAACCTATTTATCCTTCAAGCCTCTTCTGCTCAGATCCTGAATCTTTTGTGAAGCATTTCCAGACTTTTCCAACCAGATATAATGGTTATGATTGATTGATTATTATTAATAATTTGAACCCTTGGAATACTAAGTTAGCATTTTCCTTATTCCTTGGAAAGGTACATTTACTGAGCAACCAGGTACTAGGCTCGGTACTTTATGTGTATTATCTCATTTGTTCTTGAAAAGTGGGTATTACTACTTACATTTTACGGATGAGGACACCAATGCTCACAGAATATAAGCTACTTTTCCAGACTTACAAAGGAAACATGATTAAACTCATTTTTCCACTTTAATTCTGGATTAAATGTTCTCCAAAGGCAAAGTCAGCAGCCCTTTTTATTTTGTTTTGTTTTCTGAAGCAGGGTCTTGCTCTGTTGCCAAGAGCTGGAGTGCAATGATATGATCACAGCTCACAGCAACCTCAAATCCTGGGTTCAAGCGATCCTCCTGCCTCAGCCTCCTGAGTAGCTGATACTACAGGCATGCACCACCATGGCAGGCTAATTTTCCTATTTTTTGTAAAGACAGGGGTCTTGCTATGTTGCCCAGGCTTGTCTCAAGCTTCTGGCCTCAAGAGATCCTCCCACCTCAGCCTCCCAAAGTGCTGTGATTATCAGCGTAAGCCACTGTTCCCAGTCAGTATCTCTTGGAGAAGGTATTTATAAATACCAAGTGTTAAGTTTGAAATGAATTTGCTGTTTGGGTGTGAGAGTCTAAAGAATTGGCATTTTTCCATTCTGTGGGTTATCTGTTTGCTGTCTTGACAGTTTCTTTGGCTGTGCAGAAGCTTTTTAATTTGATCAGGTCCCACTTGTTTATTTTTGTTGCTGTTGTGATTGCCTTTGGGGTCTTCGTCATAAATTCTTTGCCTAGGCCAATGTCTAGAAGAGTATTTCTAACGTTTTCCTCTAGAATTCTAATAGTTTCACACCTAGGGTTCAAGTCTGTTACCCAGTGTGAGTTGATCTTTGTGAGAGGTGAAATGTGTGGGTCTTGTTTCGGTCTTGTACATGTGGCTATCCAGTTTTCCCAGCACCATTTATTGAATAAGGATTCTTTTCCCCAGTGTATGTTTCGTCTGCTTTGTCGAAGATTAGATGGCTATATGAGGATGGTTTTATATCTGGGTTCTCTGTTCTGTTCTACTGGTCAATGTCCCTGTTCTTGTGCCAGTACCAAGCTGTTTATTAATGTTTATTAGCTGTCTTCCATTTAAATGAATTTCTTAATTATGTCCATAGTACTGATGACAACACATCCTTAAATTAAAATATTTTAACTCCTAAAAAAAAAAAAAGAATTGGCATTTTTATAGCATCATATTGTTTATAATGCATTGTCAAGTGCATTATCTCATTAAAACCTCACAACAATTCTCAGAGATAAGTTTTGTCAGTGTCTCCATTTTTCAGATATGAGACTGGGAGGCAAAGAGGTTAATTGGCTTTCCCCAAACCAAATTGCCAATAGTGGCAGAGCCAGAACTCAAATGCAAGTCTTCCTCCATATACTATCCAGTAGACCACCACTACTTTTTGCTCAACACCATATGAGACCTAAAAAGTGGCACAATGTCATGGCAGCAACAAAATAAACTTTAGCTGGGCACAGTCACTCACACCTGTAATCTCAACACTTTGGGAGGCTGCGGTGGGAGGATCACTTGAGGCCAGGAGTTTGAGACCAGCCTGGGCAACATAGCCAGACTCCGTCTCTACAAAAAATAGGAAAATTAGCCAGGTGTGGTGGCATACGCCTGTAGTCCCAGCTACTCAGGAGGCTGTGGCAGGACGATCGCTGGAGCCCAGGAGTTTGAAGTTGCAGTGAGCTATGATTGTGCCACTGCATTCTGGTGACAGAGCGAGACCCAGTCTCAAAACAAAACCAGAAACAAAAAAAAAAAACTTCGAATGAATTTCAAATACTGCCAAATAGACAATGCCCACAAATTAGCAGAAAACATGAAACTATGTTGCCAGAGTTCAGGGAGTTCAGGTCTTTCAAAAGGAGGAAGACAGAGAGAGGAGAGGCAGACCACGTTAAAGAAATCCAATTCTCATTCTGTGAGAGAAAATAGTTCAAATAGTTCCTTTAATCAAAATGTGGATTTATATAAAGTAACAAGCCAATTGGGTTTTGAGAACTCTACATGTTGACCACCGTCATTTGTAAGAATTTACTTTTGGAGCATTGTCTTTCTCAGAAAGGTCCGGTTTAGTGCCATTTCAACATCTTTCTGGCAGTGGTCCTTACAAAGGGATTGGACTAGATGATGTAATCATTTTTGTTCACTTTTACATTTCTAAATGTGCAAGTGCAGGTTGGTGTATTATACAACAGAGAGGGGGGAAAGAATGACTGTGTATTTAGTAACATGCCCCATTTCAGTAAGCAGCCAGTTCTTCTTAGGGGCTTTATTCATTGCAGATATCTAGAAAGACATGGAAGCAGAAATGCTGACGTGTGTTTGCAAAGGGAACGATTGCAACATTAGTCTGGGCAGTTGATCTATAATTGGCCTTTGCCTTTCTTCACCTGGGGCTGCTGATGGGGCCAGGGAGGAGCTGAACAGTAATCTCACCCTCCATATGGACGCCCCTCAGCGTAGAGCAAATAGCAGACATGGACGTGATATCTAACAGGTCATTTGTTTAACATGTTATTTGTTGAACCCAGTGTACAAAGTTCTAAGCCACGTGGCATGGGGAACAGAACAAGGAACCAGATGCAGATCCTTCCTGAAAAGGATTTTCTGCATAATAAAAAAGGAAACGTAAGTGATCTTAAAACATGACAGAAAGCGATGTGTCACAAAAGCGGTGAGATAATATGTTAAGGCAGTTCACAGGAAGGCATGATTCCTTCTGTCTAGAAAGATAAGGGAAGGGAGACTTCATGGAGGAGGTGGCGGTTAAGTTGGGCAGGATTGGCCCATGGGCAGGCACATGGCCCTGGGAGGAAAGGATATCTCAGGCAGAGGAATCAACCTGGACTAAGGCTGGTAGCAGAAAATACCAAGAGCTCAACACAGAATAGAGAATCCAGTTTATAGTGTAAGATGCTCAAAGATCAGATTATTATTAGTTTTTAACTTTTAACACAAATTTCTGCTAATGAGGCTTAAAAAGCATTAATAAGAGTATCTTTCAATAAAGTGAAATCCTGGTAAATTAGCCAGTGATTGGTCTGAACCCCCTGTTAGCTCTCCTAGCAGAAGTGTTTCAGACTTACAAAGTCGCAGGGCTACTGCAGTTGCTGGGCTAATGTCTACCCAACCCCCCCATCCCCCAGGAAGCTGCCCATAGAATAACGTTTACCTTTTACAACTGAAGACCTGCCTTTGGTTGGTACAATCTGAAAAGTTCTCCAAGCTGTGGAGCAGCTAGTAAAATCCACACTCTCTTCCTTGTGAAGCTTGCTAAGGCAGCTGCTTAATTCCAATGCTGAGCTGAGCATTAATAGTAAGCGATACTCATACTGACTCATCCACACCTTATCCTTTATTTCACAATCCACATGTGTTGAATCAACTTTTCTTCAATGTGTGAACACTGTCAGAAAAAAAAAAAAAAGGAAGGAAAGAAGAAAAGAAGGGAAGGGGGAGAGAGAGAAAAAAAAAATAGTTTATTTGTTGTACCCAAGTCTCTCAATTTCTGCATTTCATAATCCAGTTGAATCTAGGAAGCATAGTGTGCTATCTTTCCCAAACAGGAAATAAGTAAGGTATTTTGCTGCCAAGTTGAAGATATAGATTTGGCTGTGATTTTTAAGCCACCTGGTGGCATATTTCAAGATCTCTCCTCTTGTGGCTCTATCTTAGCTCCATCTCTGCATGAATGCACACTGAACTTGAATGCAATAAAAAGGCTGACTTTTTAGCTCACTTTGAATCACTGGACTTTTCTGCCTTATGAAAAATGTACACTGCAGTGTTATGTCTGGCCTAAGCTACTAAAAAAAAAAAATCTTCCTTCAGGAGAATTTGACCCTGTTCCCATTGTTTTCTCAGCATGTTTTCAGCATCAGTGCATTGATTATGCTGTCATTAGACAGAATACTGAGACAGAAAAAAGATCTATTAGATCATCAAAGTCCATTCCTGGAGTAGGCCCAAGTCTCCCGGGAGAGACTGTGACATGCCGTCTCAGGCAAATGACCAAGGAGAATGTAAAGCCATGTAAAATTTTACCCTGCCCCACTTTTTAATTTCTGAAAGTTTCTGAAATAACTCTCAGAAAGAGACTGTTCGTGAAACAGTGACAGTGCTGAATTTAGGTTAGTGGTTCTCAGCTGGAGGCAATGGTGCTCGCTGGGGGATCTTTGGCAATATCTGGAGACGTTTTTGGTTGTCATAAATCAGGGGAAGAGGGCGCCCATGCTGCTAAACATCCTGCATGGCCCAAGACGGCCCTGCACAAGGGGTTAGCCAGCCTGAAATGTTACCGGGCCGCGGTTGAGAAATCCTGACTTAGGTCTTTCCCTAAGCCTTTTTCCTGCTGCTTAACTATTCACTCAACTCCAAACAAGGCAGACTCCTTGACTAATTAAATAACTCTGAGGAGGACACACTATTTTGAAATAAACTATTTCAAGTCAAATTCCTACCAATTCTACTTCTTAGTCCCAAGATAAGCAAGTATGAACAATCATACAGAGAAACAAAAGCACCTTTTCTAGTTATTTTTATTTTTTTATTTTCACACAGATAAGAACTTCCTATGTTGCCCAGGCTGGACTCAACTTTTGGCCTCAAGCGATCCTCCCACTTCTGCCTCCCAAAGTGCTGGGGTTATAGGCATCAGCCATCACACCCGGCCACCTTTTGTAGTTATTCTGAGATTTAGATTGTTTTGAATTGAATAATACTCCAGACCAAGTAAATAATGTTTTAGAGACTTAGGGAAAAGGAACCATGAAATGCATAAGGAAAAAGAAACCATTATACTTGCCTTAATCACTAGAACCCTATTGTTAATCAGAAGCTTATATTTTTATTTCTACATATTCTTCAAGTGAAAGTTTGTATAGGCAGAACAGATCTTTAAAGTCAAAACCTTAAGCAAAAAACTTTTCATAGCAAACAAATATCTCAAGAGTACTAAATAGGTACCCTTCTCCAATCATACCTACCATCCATCTTTTTGGGGAAGAATTCATATTTGTTTCTTTTTGTTTTGTGTGGGGTTTTTTTTTTGTTTGTTTGTTTTAGGAAAAGAGAATATAAAGTAGATAGAGTGATAGAATAAGGGAAAGAAGAAGGGGAGGGGAGGAAAGAGGAGATAAATACAAGTTTTTTGTTTGTTTTTTGTTTTTCTTCTGCAGGTTTTAAAGAACCTTGGCAAACAGAAGCTTCCTGATTGGCTGTTCTATCCCCAACTCTCTGTGGCATTTGGTGCTGGCCTTGGTCTCATCCATAATATAGATTTCAATGCCAAATGTCAGGGGGGAAATGGATAAGGCGACGTGCTTTATGAATTGTGACCAAAAATACCAGCATCAAAGAAGCAAGCAGTAAATTACAGATACATCAGCTTCAGGTTATCCCGTCATCGTACTTTCGCTCGCTTAGGGTTTCTAGATTTGTGAGTCTAATTTGAGTCAATATTTACAAAGACCAAAAGAGTTGTTACAAATTCCAGGTTAGTGCAGACATTTTGCAAGTATAAGAAGCAAGCCAGATCCGCTGAGAATCCCTGTTCAATGTACTGGCTGTGTGTTTGTTTGTTTTAACTCTTTAAGATTATCAGGATAATGCTGTATACTTGAAGCATTAAATAGATTTACTCTTTACCCTATTGAGGAGCCATCCCTTCCTTGAAATCTCTCGCCTTGATTATGGCATCCTTTTGTTCCTGCCCCCTCCCCCCGACAGAATCAAGGTTGGACTTTTCTGCACTGTTGAGCTAACTTGAATTAAAATCTGTCATTTGTGTTCAGTCACAACTCTGTTCCATTTCCTAATGAGCTGTGTCTTCTCTTCAGGCATTTCTTGGGGTATTTATGAGAACAGCGCAGCTAAGGCTTAGTGGAGACTCCATGGTGGTATTCAGTACGTGAGGCCTCTGTACAAAGCACACAGTTGACCATGTCCCCTCTTTATTGTAGTTGACCTCAGTCACTCACATTCCTCCCCTCCCGAAAGAGGCTGCCAAGGACAACTCAAACACCACTCTTTGTTGGAGGCAAGGACCCTCAAAGACCCTCAACTCCCCTATGACTCGTCCTACGCACGGGCTTCGCCCTGGAAAATTCCAGCTATAGCTCCGAGAAGAATGCATCCCATGACGTGCTGCTCGGAATGCTCCGAGGGAGTGCTAACTGCAATTGTTCCCGACCACCTGCCAGGTTGGGGTTGAGTAATCAGTCACAAACAGGATACCGATAAGACGCTGATGGGGGCTGATTGCCCCAGACCCAAGACTCATCGTCACCCCACTCTATTTTTCTGTTTCTACTTCCTTGTTTCTGTATGCTTATAAAACCTACTAAGAATCCAAGTAAAGTAGACCTTGACAACCCTTTTGTTTGGTCTCGTTCCTTTCTCTCGCCCATCTCTTTCAGGCACGGTCCCCCTTGACCCCACGAGTAACAGAAGGTCCCTCGGACCGGGACAAGTGGCGCCCAACGTGGGGCTCGAGGTACGGACTTTTGTCGGATGCACGCGGTTTACAGACAGTTCTCCGGAGAATCCCTGAAGAGACCTCCTTTCTGCCGCTCACAGAATCGACGGTCTGGTGAGTAGATTTTTTACATTGTCATCCCATCGAGATGGGCCATTCATTGTCTAAAGAGGCCGTTTTTATCAAGGATCTCAAGGCCTTGCTCAGAGAGAGAGGAATTAGAGTTACGAAAAAGGACCTAGTAAAGTTTTTTGTGTTCATTGATCATGCTTGTCCTTGGTTTATTGTTGGTGGACCTGAGATTCACCCACCGCTTTCTGAGGTAGTGTTACAAAATAGAAGAGCCAGACTTAGTGTTCCTCCAAGAGGGGAGGTTTGTGCCGCAGCACTTAAGAAAGAATGTTGCTTCTACGCAAACAAAAACAGTCTGGTAAAAGATAGCATTGAAAGGGTTAGACAGAGCCTAAAAGATAAAAAAAAAAACGGAGAAAACAAAGTTAAGCGTGATATCAAAATTGGTTTTCCACATCCCCCTGGCTATCCACATTGCTTCCCAGTGTCTTAAGGCCGCTTGTAGTTTTTCTGTTGCTCCTCACCTTTGGGCTCTAGGCATTCAAAAACTAACTGATTTTGTCAAGTCGAGTAGAGCAGCCACACAAAAATCGGTCTCCGTTTTTACCAACGGCTAGAACTAAGAGGCTCCAGAGAAGACCTCCATGAAGAGTCTCCCAACACCAACCCACTGAAGGTCTAAATTTCTCAGACCTTGTCGCAACATGAACGCAGTTGGTTCCAAAAGCTGGTGAGACGCCCATGACAGATATCACGATGCCGTGTACCAGGTGCACACCCCGCCAGCAGTGAGTAACTCCATGACGGGAATATTGTAGGTCCATCCCGGGGCACACTTCATACATCAGAAGTGCGGGAGCAGGATGCCACCTACATAGCCTAAGACAGAGGCCTCACCTTCACGTTAATCGCCAATCTTATATTTGTGGGTGCTGGTCGGCAGAAGCCATCGCATAGCCTAAGACAGGCTCTCCACCCACCTATATAAATCTCCCTCTATTAATAAAGAGAGGGGATGTTGGAGGCAGGACCCTCAAAGACCCTCAACCCCCTATGACTCGCCTACGCACGGGCTTCGCCCTGGAATTCCAGCTATAGCTCCGAGAAGAATGCATCCCTGACGTGCTGACCACCGAATCTCCAGGGAGTGCTAACTGCAATTGTTCCCGACCACCTGCCAGGTTGGGGTTGAGTAATCAGTCACAAACAGGATACCGATAAGACGCTGATGGGGCTGATTGCCCCAGACCCAAGACTCATCGTCACCCCACTCTATTTCTGTTTCTACTTCCTTGTTTCTGTATGCTTATAAAACCTACAAAGAATCCAAGTAAAGTAGACCTTGACAACCCTGTTGTT